CGGGGCGGGGGCCGCCGGACGGCGGCAGGGGGTCGAGGCAGAGCTCAGCCCGCCCGCAGCGTGCCGCAGGCTGCCGAGGCTCGGCTCTGCCCTCGCAAGGGGACACGAGCGGGAACCAGGCACCGGACCCAAAACACCAGGGGGAAGGAGAGACCCCGATAAAGGAAGAACAGCATCACCCCTAATTCAAGCCCACGCTGCCATGCAGCGGTCTCTCCTTCAAGCAATCAGTGGCGGATCGTTTGGGCTCTGACCCTCCTGCACTGATAACGGAAGGCGACACTGAAGTCTTGGTCACCAGCTTCAGAAACGGGGCAAAGCTTGCTGGCTTCCCCAGCTAACTGTTGTGGTCAGACACAGAGCGCATCGCCACCAAACCCAGTCCTCCGCGCTTCCAGGCAGCTCTGGAGCAGATGCTTACTCCAAAAGAGAGTCACTTCGCACATCCCGAAATGCTTCCCAGGACTTTATACCCCCAAATTTAGCCCTATCAAACGGTCAAACCACACAGCTACGACATGCCCCAGGAAGCGACCACAAGAGGCCACGGCCTCACGCTGGAATTGCGAGGAGCTTCTTATACCGCATTTCCAGGTGAGCTTACCTGGGAGCGTAACTCCTGTCCTACACAGAGGATCCTCCCGATCCCCGGTCTGATGTAACCCTGACCGTAAGATCATGATGCACTAACAAAGCATCAAAGTGATTTCAACAGCACGAAGAACTCTGGTGAGCTGTTTTACAACCTGATTCTAGCTGCTACCGATCTCTGGTGTACCGGAGAAAGGTTAAAACCCCCAAACTAGAAGCTAAATCAGACATTAAGGAGAACAAAAAAAATTAGTTTCTTCTTGGTCCCTTCAAGCAGACAGGCGACGGCAGAGCATCCCGTTTTCGGTGCGTAGCTCAACTCCCCCGTCAGCTAACCTCACCCTCTAGAGCCTTTTAGGCCAAAGGATCCCAAGGCTCCCGCCGAAATCAAGGGACAACCGCGCTGATCCCTGGCGCCCAGCCCTCCACCAAACGGGGGTCAAGCAAGCGCGAG